AAGTCTCATTCCTGGTGGAGAAGCTACCGGCTCAGGACATGAAAGGAATTGCTAAAGCAGTGGCCAGTTTTCTTCTCACTGTTCAGACACTGCCCTGAGGTCGTCTTAATGGTTAGACACCTTCATCCTGGCTCATCCTTCACAAACACCTGTCACTAGTGGGCTCTTACCTTGTGTCCTTTTTAGGGAAAGAACCAACAAGTTAAGTAGCTATGGGACCCACATGCATAAGAAATTTCAGATTACCTATTCTAATAAACAATCAACACAGAGGGAAAATACTTGTTTTGTTTTGTTTTTAAAGGACTTAGTTGGGTGATCTAGATCAGCTGGGACAGGCACTTGCTGTCAGGCATGAAGAGCCAAATTCAATCCCCAGAACCCACATAGCAAATGGAAAGAACTGACTCCCATTGAGCTGTCTTCTGTAGCTCAAGTGTGCATGTAGCATATAGGCATGTCCATGCATGCATGCGTATGCATTCACACACACAAATATTTTTAAACAAATAACAAAATAAAAAGAATCATTTATTTAACAAATATTATATCACTGTAACAAACATAAATTGGGAAGTCTGAGAAAACACTGTCTACTTAGCAACTAGGGACTTCAAATTTACCTCTAATAGGTCAATTCACTTAATCCATTGTGGAATAGGGAATTGAACCCAGGACTTTACATACACCGGGCAAATGATTGGCCACTTCTTTACACCCTTAGCCCAGTGGATCAATTTAAAAATCCAAGCATTAGGGGCTGGAGTGATGGCTCAGAGGTTAAGAGCATTGCCTGCTCTTCCAAAGGTCCTGAGTTCAATTCCCAGCAACCACATGGTGGCTCACGACCATCTGTAATGAGGTCTGGTGCCCTCTTCTGGCCTGCAGGCATACACACAGAATATTGCATAATAAATAAATAAATAAATAAATAAATAAATAAATAAATAAATAAATAATCCAAGCATGATACCTGGAAATACTTAAGTGGAGAAGAAGAAAGATAATGCAAGAAGGATCAGGAGCAGAGCTTGGAGACCCATGTTGCAGACAGGATTAGCTCCTATCACCCTGAACCAAACAAGGTGTGAGAAGGGCCATCATCTGGAGACAATGGTGCACACCTGCAATCCTGACATTTGGGAGGCTGAGGCAGGAAGATTCCTGAAAGTTCAAAGCCAACTTAGACTACATAGTAAGGTCTACACCAGCCAACCTAACTTCGGAATTAATAGAGTCCCAATTTCAAAATAAATAAATAAATAAATATTTTTAAAATGACAGAAGAAAGGTGATCATTGCAAGAAGTAAGAGGACTCCCAGTATATATATTTAAAGTTTAAGAGCCCTAAAAATTACAGCTTGTGTGGCATCATTTCAACTACTGACACCTAGATCTCTGGAAACTAAGGGTCTAGACGTCAAATAAAGAATGACCAGAGGCAGATAAAAGAAGAAAAGTCCCAAGCAGAACCTAGATATAGGTCTGCAAACCACACCAAACTATGCATGTTTTTCCATTAAAAAGCATTGGCAGATACATCTGTCAATTTTATTTGTAAAATAAATTTTATTTGTAAAAATGTATACACATATACAATAATTCATAGATAAGGAATTTTGATCCAGTTATCTGAGTAACTGCCTGTTTCTTCAGCCCGTTTTCTCTGCTTTAAGGTTCATGCTTTGGTAAATCACTCCTTTGTGGAATTCACCTTGCAAACTAGACTCCAAGTGTTGGAGGGGGATGTCTTACTTTTATCCAGCTCAGTGTCTGTCTTGATCCTTGCGGCTGAGTAGCAGCCCATGCTCACTGAAAACACTACATTCTAACTTCTGTTTCTCCTCAGAATGGGCTAGTTAGGTGCTTCATGAAATGTCTGCTGAGAAATTCTTCAGGTGTTCTTACTAGGCTCTCTATATAAATATTAATTATTGTTATCAACGCAAATATTGACTACCACTATAATCACAAATAACAATTGCTAAGCAAGAACTTATTAATCTATCCAAATATAGAGAGCAAAGATGTACTTTCTGATTTATGTTGAAGTTCTCATAGCTTTGCAGAACATGTTTACGGATACCGTTTCAATTTACTTGTTTATCAGATAAGCACATTAATATATCATAACTCTACCCATCACCCTGCCCACCAACAAATGCCACATGCTAGGTCTTGATACCTTTTGGTAAACTGGTAATTAGTCATTCCTAATGCAAGTGTAGAGATCCCCACAAGGCCTGGCAGGGATAATACAGCACCCATCAGTATTAAAAAGGGATAGCGCTCAACTTGTATAGCTCAAACCAAAGAAAGATTCCAGAAGGTCAGAGCACAGATCTTCTCAGCCCATTTAGAAAGGGAAGCGATCTCAGGGGTTTTCCGTGCCCCCTCGAGTAATTCTTGCACCGTGTTCAGGGCTTCCTCTCATCCTGGCATTTTCCCACTTAGCATTCCTGGTAAGGCTGAAATGGCAGGTGACTTGTTCACAGGAGGTGGGTCACATTGACAGTGAGAGCAACTGATGGGGGATGAAAAGGAACTAATAATAAAGTTCATGAGAGATCTCATCAAAGTCACTAACTCATGACAAGTAGAGAGTAACTGGAAAACTTGGGCTTAAGCTCAGGAACCAGAAAGGGCATCCATAGTACCTAATCAATCCTCTCCAGTCCGTCCCCTGGAGATGCCTACCCCTGCAAAAATGTAACAAGTATGCTTCTTTAAAATGACTGTGCAACTATTCTCCTTCAACCATCTAGAGTACAGCTGCCTTTAAATGTGTTCTCAAATGCACCCCCAACGTGGCCACGCACAGAGCCATTGGTTTTCACAGTTCTCAGCTTAGCCATGCACCGTTGGCACACACGTTTAGATAGTTTTCACACCCCTCCCACGCTGAATCCTTCATCTGATGTGAGTGTGCCAATACGTGTGTTTTATCTCCTGGGTCAACAGATAAGAACATGCTCATGAGACCCCTCTTCTAATACAGAGTTAGCAACTGGGAGCTCCTACCCAGCCAGGGACAACATTTTCAGTTCCATTCACTCTATACATGTCTGCAAAATATCAGTCAACAGGATATCAGTCAAGTACCTGGGATTATCAACTAATAAATCAAAAGCTTGTGTTTTGGCTCATGGTTTCAGAAGATCTAGCAGGGCCTAAATGCTAGGCAACAGAAAGTGAGTAGAGGGAGCGTCTCACTTTTAAGCTTTTACGGTGTGTCCTAAGTCCATGCTGTTACACTCTCTGATACAGTTTAGATCTTAAGCATCCTGGGAAGATCCAAGTGTTAAGGGTTTTGGTCCTCAGGGCGGGGCTACTGGGAGGAGTAGAACCTATAAGAACAGAGGCTGAGTGGGATGTCATTATGCCATGGGGCACATGACATTGAAAGGACTAGCCGGACCCCAAACTCTTCCTTCTCTCTCTCTGCTTCTTGGACACTAGAACAGTTTTCCTTCTCCATAGACTCCTCATGACTTCTGTCCTGTGCCTCCACCAGTGACCTAAGGCAAATGAGTTTGCCCTGAACATGAACAGGTCCATTTAAAAGTGTGCGTCCAATTAACCTCTTCCTTTTATCTACTGCTGTTGGAATCTGATGAACAGCCCCCCTTTTGCCTGCTCCAAGTTATATGGGTATCCAGGCTCGTGGGTGGTTAAGACTTGGTTCAGGCCTGTGATGAAAGGAACCAGGCTCTCCCAAATCATTACATTGAAGAAAGGCATTCTGTGGCAGAGAAAGGGACAGCCCTGACAGGATATTACAAATGAGTATAATTAATTCTGTTTTAAAAATCTTTAGATACTTTAGGATCTTTTGGCACTGGAGTATAGACTAACTAATACATGAATCTGGCAAAGTGACATACAGGGACATTTTAAGGACAACGAATCCACAAGCAGAATGTTCACCGACTTGCCTAGAGAAGATATTGAATACCTTTACTTTCCCAGAAAGGATTAAATGGGGACAGCAACCCATGAAATTCTCTGTAGCAATAGTGATTATACAGATTGGTGTGGCAATGGTGTTTGAATCTTAGAGTAGTTCCCTTCAAATTTATAGGCCCTCATTTGAATTTTGATACTGTGAGCGAATGTTGAGGTTGTCATAGAAACAAGTTAAAGCAACACAGTGCATGTGATGTGAGGGACGACTTAGCACTAGGAGGGGCAGCAATAAAGCAACATGAAGATATCACACAGGGAAAATGACTCAGGGTCTTGAAGCGATCGCCAACCATTTGTCTTTGCCCCTGTAGGAATCTCATACACTGGTTAGTCAACAATCTTATAGTGTGGCCAGTTCTGAAGAGAAACTAATTTCAGAATTTAGATGAGAGTATTGTAGAGTCCTTGCCCTAGCCACATTAATCCTGCTTCCACAGAAGAGAAATACACAATCATAGAGGAAGAGAAACAGACAGAGGGACTGATTTGGGGCCCACAGAATTAAAAGGGGACTGGAGAGATGGCTCTCTGTGTAAAGAGTGTGCTGTGCCCCTGCGTTCAGAATCCTAGCAGCCACATAAAAATCTTGACATGGTACTGTGTGCCTGTTGTACCATCACGTGAGGGTCAGAGACAGGAAAGTTTCCTGGAACTCACTAGCCTGTTAGTCTGTGAGTCAGTCTTCGAACACCAGGCTCAGAGAGAGCCTGTTTCAAAGAAACAGGTGGAAAACAATTGAAAAAGACACCGACTTTGACCTTCAGCTTCTCTCTGTGCACTCATGGGAGCACACACCAAAATCAAATAAAGTAAAACGTGATGGAGCGATGAACAGATGGAACAATATACACAAAGTAAGCCTTGAACCCCTTCTGAGGTGGATTGAGAGCACACTTCTCGCCCCCACTCTGGTCGGCTTTGCAATGCAGACTTTACCTGGCCCTTCTCCCTGGGCCAGATGCCTAGCTGTTGCTCATTCAAGTCATCGTGTTCTTTTGTGGAACACTAGAAATTCTAAGGAGGACTCTCCTACCTTTGCCAGGGATGCTATTCTTCTCTCCAGGGAGCCTCAGGACCTCAAAGCTTCTGTGATTGTCTGCCCTTGTCTGGAGACAACACAATGGCAGGTGGCTGGAATGATCTGGTGGCATCCAAAAGGAGACATGTAGCCATCTGGAGGAGAAGGATTTGGCCATGAGAATAGTTTAAGAAGGCTAATTTTCAAAGCTGCTCTTTGAATGGGTAAAATAAGGGGATTTTTTTAAGCCTTCAGATTCCCTGTCTTATATAATCTGTCAAGGCAGTTCTGGGGAAGTTTCAACTCTTAGGAGACATGAAAATAAAATCTTGCAAACCTTCACATGCCTTCTCTTAGTCTAGTGTCCTTTCTTCTTCCTCAAGTCATTCTCTCATTTCTGTTTATATGCACACATTAAACAATTTCCTCTCTGCTCCTCTTTGCTTCATTCAGAAAGTGCATTGATCGACTTTCCCGGAAAAGATGCTGTAGAGTGTTTCCACCGCTGAGACGGTGGGAGCCTTGAGAGACTAAAAGCGGCTGAGCCGGAGTGATGCTCTTAATATATGGAGAAATAGCTGCCTGAGATGGAGACTCTGGACCCCACCCGCAATGATCTCAATCATTTTAAGACAGAACAAAGAGGCATCTGCAGACATCAGAAGATACTGAATCAGTCACCGTGCCAGACAGTCTCAGGCGGCCCTTTGACAGCTCCGGTGAAACCAGGTCAAAGGCATCTGGCTGGCTCAGTAGACAGAGGAAATCAATAATGCTAAGGAGTGGTGTCTGGAGCAGGAAACAATCCTAGCAAACAGACAAAATGGTCTCTCTGCTCAGGGTTCCTGATAGAAGCCCTAACAACCACCATCTTGACATGAGTACTGTGATATACATCCATGAGGAGAGAAAATAAAGAACAGAGGTGGGGACAGCAATGGCAGGTGCCAAGGAAGACAATGTAGAAGTCCAAACAGGTGAGTGCCCATCAGGCCAATTCAAGAAAAGAAAACAAAACAAAAACTCCGTCAGGCTTTATAAAAACTCCATTAGGCTTTAGGACAAAGCATTTACTACTCAAAGTGTGAAGCTCTGAGTTCAGATCCCCAGAACCCATGTAAAGCAGGGCACAGTGCCATGTGTCCATGACCTGCTGCTTCTGCAGGGAAATGAGAAGCAGAAACAAGTTCACCCAAAGCTCCAGGACAGCTAACCTGGTACACAGGGTGGCAAACAGTGAGAGAGCCTGTCTCAACCAAGGAAGAAGACGGTGACCTCCACCTGAGGATGTCCCCCGACCTCCACCAGTGTGCCATGGTGTATCTGTACACACACTCACACATAGTTATGTACACAAATCACACATACAAGCACACAGAGAGAGGAAAATAGGAATAAAAAGAAGAGAAGGGGGATAAAAGAGATGAGGAAGAATAAGAAGGAAAGGGAGGCAGAGGACACCGTAGGTCTTCAAAATCACTGGAGATAAACTATAGCTTAACCTCAAAGGAGATTTTTTAAAGTAGATAAAAGTAAAGTAATACTAGGAGAAACAAAAAGCTAGTTTAATTTAAAACATAGTTATTATATGTCTATGGCATGATCCAGATATACTCTACTTAAAAGGAAACTGAGGCTTAGAAAAGTTGAGCCATTTTCCCATCCTCATAAGGTCATACAGGATGACACCGAGACCGAAGATTGGCATCCACCTCAAAAGCCAGAGAAGCATACTCTTCCTCGGCTTGTTTCTATAGTCCTCCAGGCTGTGGAGACCACTGACGGTCTTCAGCATGTCTAAATCCATAAGAATAAGAGCAGAAGTCTTCAAAGACAACTGAGCTGTCAAGCAATAGGGTGGGAGCATCAAAAATGGATGGTAGAGATATTCAAATGGTAGAGATTTGAGCTTGATCAGATGGTCTTCCTTGATCGGCTAATCTACCGCTTCAGTAAAAGAAGGTTGTTAAATTAAAGCAATAAACCAGCGGATCATAGTAGGAATCACTCCCCCATACTATATAGAAACACAAATGATACAGAAGGCACACAGCTACTCGTCAATGCACAAACTCCATGTGAGGATCCTGCTTGCAGGGCTCCTCACAAGCAGGTGAAAAGGCATGAGCCTGCACAATCCTCTTGATCCACTTACATATGTTTTCCTAGTGGTAGCAACAGAAAAAAAATTATAAATGGCTAATATTTGTCTTGTTTTATTCATGTCTGAAAGTTAATCATGCACTTTATGAAAGAAGCTGAGACAGACGCAGAGCAAGCTCACAACCGAGCTATGCTTGGCTCCCCTTAGCCAGCAGAGTTAGATCAGTTCTTCAGGCTCTCCCATCTGGCTATGCATGGGTTCGAGGCTGGGCTTGTGGAACTTTGAAAGTCAGTTGTCTTCTGCACTCTGCTTTAGTTGTCTGAAGTGACTTTGGCCCTGATAGCACCTCTGCTGTGACATTGTCAACTTCAGCAGTCACAGCTTAATACAGTATAAGGGGTTAAGAGTAAACTGTGCTGAAATAAAAGTATATTCTAGAACAATGCTTCTCAGCCTCACTAATGTTGCAACCCTTTAATACAGTTCCTTATGTTGTGATGACCCCCAACCATAAAATTATTTTTGTTGCTACTTAATAACTATGATTTTGCTACTGTTATGAATTGTAATGTAAATATCTGTATTTCCCGATGGTCTTGGGTGACCCTGTGAAAGGATGGTTTTACCCCCATGGGTGTCGTGACCCACAGGTTGGGAATTGCTGCTGTGGTAGTTAATGTTTTGCCCACCCTCTTAAGCTAATTTGTCTCTCGTCTGTGCCTTTCGATTAAAGTTAGACTAGGGAAATGCCTTTCTGACTACATGAAGCTTGAGTTGATGAGTTCCATAGTTTTAGAGAAAGAGTTATGATTTAAGATTTCCATAATCAATGAAAAATTTTATGCCAAAGGTAGATGGATAATTAGGGAGGGGTCCGAGACGAGATATTATGCGTCACCTGATTCTTCCATCTTTGGAGAAAGTACATGAAGGAGACAGAAAACGGACCTACAAGTCTTCCAAGATGAGACAGAATCCCATCTTGGCCTCTAGGGAAAGTTAAGGAAGTCATTTTTACTTCACTGAACCTCCTTCTACTCCCTCCCTCCTTTCTTTCCTTCACACCCCCTCTCTCTACCCAGCTTCTCTTTTTCTTTTTGTAATGCGAGCCTGTCAAACTAAAGGCCTCGGGTATGCTATGTAAGTGCTCTACCACTGAGCTACATCCCCAGCTCTTTGTGGCTTTAAAATAAAGATGATGCTACTATCCTTAAAATGTTGTGGGGACCATGTGAGTTGATGTTCACTATAGTAAGCATTACTCCTGGTACACATACATTCTCAGTGAGGCTAACTTTCTTCCTCAGCCCCTCCGATAGCACTCTATAGATGCTGTATTTATGTGTGAATGGGATGGAGGAAGAATTTTCACTGTGCCGAGCAGCCAAGGGAGCTCTATCAAGAAAGGTAGGGAACATCAATTCTTCACAGTCTTATTTCCTGCACCTTTAATTATCTGAAATAAGGGGCAATTTACAGCTCAGCTGTTTATAACCTTGGATACTCTGGCATTCATGGCTGGCATGGTGTCATCTCAGACAAAGACTGTCTAAGAGCTGTTAGACCCGATGATGGCTTTATTGCTGTGTATTGTATTGTATAACAGATCTCCATATTCTGTTCATTAGAGTTGCTCACAACTGCCCAGGTCTGGCAGACGGCCTCTGCTTTCATAGTGTCCTAGTTTCCCAGAATGTCTGCATCTCCAGGGCCATTACCGCCTCCTGACTCCCTCACACTTATCCCATTATGCTATTATTTTGTACCCAGCACTGCCTGTTTATGTTTTCTACTTTATGCTACAATATGACGGAACCAGACCTTAATCTCTCCGTTGGGGTCAGCCTGCTCACTGTTTGTGCCATTTACCAGGGAAAGGGAGGTGTGGAGATCTGTGCATGTGCATAGGTCAGAGAAGGCACAGTGCAGACCTTTTCAGTGAGGACCGAGCCACCTCCTGAGAGGCTGCTGGCAGAGGAGAAGGCAAAGCAAACTCAGTTAAAACAGCCAAAACTCAGCCTTTCCAGTCTCCATTAGAGCCGGGATCAGATGCAGTCGAGACTGAGATGGGAAATCATCGATGAGCAGAGATATTAATACTATGTTCTTTTAAAAAGTAATGTCCTAAAAAACATACATCTTGAACCCAAGGGCCAAGGAGGAAAAGGCAGGAAGATTCTCAGAGCTCCCTGACCACCTAGTGAATCCAAATAGATGAGCTCTGGGTTTAATGAAAGAAGCTGTTTCAAAATATGGTAGAGAGTAATAGAAGATACCTGATAGTGGTCTGCATGTGCAACCTGCATTCACATGTGTATGTACACACACACACACACACACACACACACACACACACACACACACACGAGCATCTTTGTAGTACAACATATTAAAAAAAATACCTTTACAAAACTGTCTGCTTGTACTCAGACTGAATCGGATGGAAGTCAAGGGCATTTAGATTTAACTCCTGGCTTGTCATGCATTTTGATTTGCAAGCCCTGTGTCTCTGACCCTAGAGCTATTCCACCAGATCACTCAGTGACTTCAAGTCCCCCCTCGCTCACCACTGAAAATGAACTAATCCCCCTAAACACAGGTTTAGGGAGGAGAAACAAAATGCATAAAAGCTTGTAGCTGATCCAGATCCAGGGCAACCAGCATCACACGGCCTGCTTCTTTCTTCAAGACCCAACTTGGCCATCAACCTAGCAACCACAGTGATTTACTTAAGTGCATGGTAAAATCTGTGGCCTGTCTTTAGAAGTAAAATGGAGCTTCCATGGGGCTGGATTCGGGCTGTCTTTGTTCAGGAACCTAAGGTCAGTAAATATTAGTAGATTTAGGAGAAAGTGGAATTTGAAGCCGGTACCACACTTTGTGCATTCAAAGTAAGCTCACTGTGATTTTAATTAAAAATTCTAAGCTACAGATACCAATTACTATTAATAATGGTCTATGTCTGAGTACAAAAAATGGTAGTGGGGCATGAAGAGAAAGAGAAAGGATGATGAGAAATAGGATAAACTCTAAGAGCAACCTCCTACTGCC